AACTCTCTGGCGCGGGCACGTCGGTGCTGGCGCGAAAGGCCCTGGGCGAACGAGCGGTAGGCCATCAGTGGGAGACGTCGCCGTGGAAACTGCCGATGGTGCTGAGGCCCTCTGGCTGCCCGGAGCTGCGATGGACCAGATGACTGGATTATTTGTGTTACCGCTTCCAGCTTTGAGGTAGCCTGCCGCTTCGTCAGGTCGCGCGTGCTTGGAGGCGGCAACTTTGCCCCTGCTGATTTTCGTCTGCTTGGTGTTGGGGCCTGGCCAGACTGGCGCCGTGGGGGTGCCGGGCGGGCTGGTCTGGCGGCTGCTGAGAAAAAACACCATGCACGAATGCGGCCTCAATGCGGCTACGTCCGGTTGCTCGTGCTTCCGGTAGTCCTTGTTGGTTGGGTTTCTTTCTCAATGGTCGAACATCTGTTTCGTTAACAGATTATTGTCATCCTGTCGGTTGCGGCTTGCTTCCGTGATCTGCTTCTGGGTGTTGGCTGTGGTGTGGTGGTCTTGAATTCTAACATCTGCGATCGTAGTTCTGTTTGTGCATGATGCATGGACGCAAGCGGCCGCGGCGCGGTGAGTTGGGATCCTGTGCCCGCTGAGCCCCGTTGAAAACGGTGTACCTCAAGGCGGTACACAAGCGGGCGGCGGCGATGCTGGCCTCGGCTTGGGGCAGTACCCTGGGGTCCGCCACGTGCCGTGGGCCAGACTCCGCTGCGGTCTGGAGGAACCGCCATCCGCGAGAGACGCTTCATCAACGGACTCATCCTCGCCGTCCTCATACGTGTAGCATTAAGCTCTGGGGCGCCGGGCACGTACGCGGCGCGCGCATTCGTCGGTTTCCTTGCGCTCCTCTTTCTCCAAATCCTCGACGTCCTTGACGAATTCTACCAATGATTCCGCATCCGCGAGCTCGTCCTGAAATCTATTCAATTGAGTGCAACATGTCTCGAGGCAACTATTGTTTAGCTTCATTCTGCAGATTTTGTGCACCCGCCAGGCGGCGTCTAGCTTCATTGACGAAGCCCTGCTGCTTGGTGGTGTGGGCTGTGGCCGAACGTGAGTACATGAGTTGGTACAAAACTACGCCGTATACTCGTGGCGGGGCGCCCCCACCTGTCTCGGGTCGAGATTGAATTCATGGGAACACTTGATTTGGCGCTCCAGCCCCTCGAGCGTGGATCCCAGTGCTTGCCTGAAGTCACTGTACTCCTGGGCGTCCTCAAGGGGATCTGGCCATCCGCAGTGCGCACGTGTCTCCTCCAGGGTGCAGGGCGCGATATCCACACACTCCTCCTCATCGTTGGTGGCGGGCTGCGCTCGACCTGATGCCATGGCGGTGTCGGTCTCGGTTCAACCATATTCTTGCAGCTCTGCTGCGACAGTGGGTGCCGCTTGCTGCGCCGCTTGGACCCCCACTTGTTGATTGTGGTTGCGGGCCGGGCGCCCCCCAAGGCACTCGACCGGGTTGTGCTGCCTGCTCTGCCATTCTTGTCCAATTCTGCGGTTGCGCGGGCGTGACGTCTACCGGCTCCAAGACATGCTGCAATGCTGCTGCGGTCTGCTTTGGCACGTCTATGCCAGGACGGCTCTGACGCGCTTGTGCGAGTAACCTTCCTTCCGCGCGCTGTGACTGGAAGGCGCGCCGGGGGGGGGGGGGTGCGGGCGCGTGCGAGGCTGGGCCGGCGAGAGAATTCGCAGGTAACTGGTACCTGCGCCCGAAATGGTCTCGAGCCGGCGATGGCCTTAGGGGGAGGGAGGAGGGAGGATGAGGAGGAGGAAGCACCGAGCGACGAAACGCGAGTCGGTACTAACGGAGCCACGCATGCGTGGCAAGGAATAAGCAACGAAAGGTGTGTGGATACAGCTGACACGCCAACATTGCTCATGCATGCATGAATGCTGCAAAACACTGAGCTCATCAAGCCGACAAGGCGAGATGAAGTTGCAGCAGAACGCATGCGCAGAAGATGGGGATGATGCGGAGAAAGGAGGATGGAGGGAGGGAGGGAGGGAGGGAGGGGGTTTCCCACCGAGAGCCGAACACAAAAGAAACAACTGGCGCCTACAAGCCACGACTGTATCCGTACGAGTGGATGCATGATAGCTTGATTGTCCAAAGGCATTCGTGTCCTCAGTCTGAGCGTGTTCTGAAGCCCTCGCGCGAATGAAAGTCTCCTACACGATATACGCGGTCAAAACCCTCAGATGCGCAGCATTTGCCCAGCAAAGCGCCAAAACACCCATAATTGTTCGGCGTTGCAGCGTGGATCTCAGTCTGCACAGGAAACGTGCGAAGGGTGTTGCAGGGTGAACATGGCGCGCACGCCTCTCACTGGTGTTGTCATTGGGGCTTCCCGCTGGGCACGCAAAGTCAGAAATGGTGGCAGGATCAGCGCAGACAGCAAGCGGTGTGGATAATGAGAGGATGCATGAGAGAGGACGAAGCGCGCGGACAAGTGCCAAGGAAAACGAGAACCGCAATCCACAGGAGGGGTGGGAACGATAAGTTGTGCCCCCATACGTGCAAATCAGAGTGAGGGGACCGAACGGTCATTCATTGTCCCTGGGTGCGTGGCTGCATAAAGAATTCGTGGCGATAATTCTGCTTGTTGCGTTGTTGTTGTTGTTGTTGCTGCTGTTGTTGTGTTGAACATTATTACTTCTAAAGAATAATTATTGTTGGGACCCCTGGTGCACGGCCCCCTCGCCGCGCCTAGGCCGCAGCCATGTTTTCATCATTTTCGTGAGGAAGTCTCCGGCAAAACGGGTTGGTCCGGATCCGGTTGTTTTGTTACGGGCGGTTTTCCCTTGCAAAAAATAAGGCAAAGTTGACATTTCTTGTTCTAACATAACCAAACTTCAAGAATCCCTTGCAACAAATAAGGTAAAGTTGACATTCGCGCGCGCAAGACGAAATCCTTCCAAAACCTATGGTTTTTCAAACATTCGTAGCGATTTTAGTATAAAAACATCAAAAAACCAATGGTTTTTCAAACAAAAATTGTCAACATTTCATCCCGCGCGCTCTTGCGGATTTGTGAGAAACCCAACACTTTTTAAACATTTCTGTCAAACGGGCTTTTGCGAGTAACTTTTTCACGTGCTTCGAACTTCTCCAACAACGGTTGCGCACCTGCCATGGCCATCATCCCTGTCAAATCATAACATGCGGGACACATTCGTTTTTTCTTCGCGCGCGCACGCCGAAATCTTCAAAAAAAATTGGGCTTCTTAGGAATTTTAGCACCGCGCAACATAAAATCATACGAATCGCACCGTAGGTCCTCGAAAAACATCTGTACGAATTTTCAAAATTTCTACCCGCGCGCGCTGTCCGAATCCTAAAAAACCAATGGTTTTTCAACATTTATGTTACATGAGCTCGCGCGAGTTACTTTCGCAAGCTCTTTCAACGGCGTTCGCAAGCTGTCCGGTACAGAAACGGAAAAACGTCGTATCAGACGCTAGCGCCTCACCAGCCAAAGCAGTCCATATCATTGTAGGACCTACAGACAGTACCGGCGTCGTACTGGTTTACCGTGGTTTCCTATTCTAGCGTCAGGAACACGTTACCACCAAAAACCAGTACAGGTGTCCAGTGTTGGAACAGGGGGAAAAGTCGTATACTAAGCTAGCGTCCAGAAAATGTTACCACAACAAGTCACTGTACCCATGCGCCAGTGTAGTAGCCACGGTCGTCCGCAGGCCACGAAGTGAAGTGTCCGAACGTCATAGGGCGGGAAGCTGGGTGTGGGTGGTGGCGAAGAGTCGTTTGGAAATGTGGTAGAGCTTGAACCGGCCCCCCCACAAAGTGGGGGTATTGGCGGGCGTCGTATGAAAACCCTGGCACTGGTGAGAACGGAGTGTCCCCACGTGCTAGTAATTGTTGTTGTTGTTGTTGTTGTTGTTGTTGTTCTTGTTGTCTGTTGTCGTCGTCCCACCCGCGACCCACCCCGCGACCAACCCCACGACCCATCCCGCAACCCACCCGCGACCCACCCCGCGACCCACCCGCGACCCACCCGCGACCCACCCGCGACCCACCCCGCGACCCACCCGCCCGCGACCCACCCCGCGACCCACCCGCGATCCGCGACCCAACCGCGACCCATCCCGCGACCCACCCGCGACCTACCCCGCGACCCATCCTCAAGGGAGGAAAAACCACCCGGACCCGACAATTGACGTTCACTAAACGGCCCTGGGCGTTGACTAAACAGCCCTGCCCTGTTCGATTTTTTCCTCGTGTGCTTTTACTAAATGGCTTAGCTTGTCGGGGTGATTCTTATGGGGTGGATTTTCTGCCCTCTACACCCGCGACCCACCCGCGACCCAACGACGACCCACCCGCGACCAATTTGCGAGCCACCCGCGACCCTACCCAGATTGGTTTAACGAAAAACCGGCGCCTGAGGCGGGCTCGTTGTATACTTTGTGAAGCTTTGGCGCCTGCGGCGGGCATCTCCAGAGTCTTGCAAACTGCCGACGTCCCCACCGCCCCCTCACTCTTATCCGCATCTGCGGGGTGCTACGTATTCTCTCCCGTCGTTTGCTTGACTGACGCCCGTGCGCGGATTAAAAGTGGACGCTTCCACGCTCTCCCCCAGGGGAAAGGCCACCTATCTTCAACTTCGCGCATCACGCTCCACGATGCCGCGGGAACGGCGCTGGGCCCCCCAGACGGCGCCTCTGGCGCCACCCCTGGCGCGCTCCGCCAGGGGACCCAGTGCCGATCCAAGAAATCTGTGCGGAGCTCCGAATGTTTATGCTTATGCTTTTCTCGAAGCAGAAGATGGGAGGGAACAAAACGGAGACCAGGACCAAGACTGAACGCGGACACATCGTGTCGATCTTAGTCACCGTCCGTCTTGGCCAGCGATATGTCTTGGATCATCCTCGCTAACTGGCGGCGGCCGAGATGGATCATGACCACGATCGCATCGACAGGGTCCCGCGACATCTTGGTCATGGTCCCCGTGCTTCTTCTTTCCAAGGATTGCCTGGCCACCTCTCGGGCTCGCGATAAGGAACGCGTCCAGGGTCTCCAGTCGGCCTGGGGCGCGTGCGCGCGCGCGGCACGGGGGAGCGGAGCAGGAGGGCAGCTTGCGTGGGGACGCCTGGCTCGAGAAAACTGCGGGGCCTTTGGCGAAGTCTGAACGGGGAGGGGGCGTCGCTGGGTTCGCGAGCGAGGGTCTTCTCTGACACGACGGGGGAGCTCAGCGAAGCGTTCCTAGAACCTACAAATCTTCGAGGCTCAAGGATCATCCCTCGCCTACCTGCGTCTCAGCTCGTCCCCAGATCCAGATCCAGTCAAAACAGCCGAATCAAGTTGAATTGAGGGAAAGCTTGGGGCAGAGGGCGAGGTGGCAGGCGGAGGTGCGTGGACGGCGCGGAGGGGAAGAGTTGCACCACGCACTGGTCAGGTACAGTAGGCAAGGGCGGTGGTGGGACGTGGCGGGAGAGGAGAGGGAGGGGAGAGAGACGATGAGGAGATGAGGGATGGGGGGGGCGTGATTGGTCAGAAACGAGAGGGAGAGAGCGAGAGAGAGAGAAAGAGAGAGCGAGAGAGAGAGATAGGGAGGAATGATGAGAGAGGAAAGGAACCCAGAGGGCTAGCTGGAGGCAACCGTCGGTTGCTTCAAGCAGCAAGCCTGACGAATTCGTGAGGGTGCTTTGGAACACAAGCGCGCTCTCAGGGGTCGGTGAAATCTATATATGAAGTGACGCTTGCCCAAATGAGGGCTTAGCGCGTATTATCGAGCGTAGCCTGCAAACGCTCTGTCAGGGACCAAGACCCGCTGCTCCCAGTCTCTCGTAGCTTGAGCCTGACGCTGACTCGGAGCGCTGTATGTAGGGTGTTCGGATGATTCGGGTGAAGACAGCAAGCAACGGGAAACGATGAAAACAACACCAAAGACAACGACGGATGCAAGGAGAGCAAGACTGCAAGGGAGATGAGGGAGAGATGATGCGAGTCCAGCTCGCCATCGCTCGGACGTGCATTCCCCGTGCATATTTCAATTTCGTTCGTTACTTGTTCGCAAGATGAGCCGAGATGCTCCTCGATGGTCCTCGCTGAAGAACATGCACACGTCCGAACAATGCCAAGCCAGAAGAAAACGGAACTCCAATCTGGCGCGCAGAAGGGAGAGCCGAACACCAGTCGCTGATGTGTCGGGCAAGCCACGCGGCAATTGGCCCATCACTGGGCGCGGGGGTGAGATGGCAGGAGGGAGGAACAAGAAACGGAGAATAATAGGAGGCGCAAGGGGAGGGGGGGAACCCGTGGAACGCGCGTAATTTTCTGAAGCCTATCAAAACCAATCCCTTCCCTTCCCATTTCTCCTCCTCTTCCCTCTCCCCTCTACCTGCTCCTCTTCATCCCCCTCCTCCTCCTCCTCCTCCTCCTCCTCCTCCTCCTCCTCCTCCTCCTCTCTTCTCCTACTCCCACTCCTCCCAGGTGGAGAGTGGCGGAAAGACAGGAAACGGTGAAAACGGGGCCAGTCGGCGCTGGCGCCGAACCCTGGACCTCTGGAGGCCTTTCATGCAACAGCTCACTGCCCTCGTCCTCCTCGTCTTCCAGGCCCCAACCCTTGACTCCCCTTCGATCAAATTTGCGTCACCACCACTATGCTCCCTTGGCTTCCGCGCCGCATCCTCATACTTCTTCTTATACCTGTTCTCTCATCCTCCTATGACTCTCTCCATCCCTCTCCACTGCCTCCCTGCCAATGCGTGCGGGTAAGGCCTACTTTTGGGGCCTGACGTGCAGCGCCGGCGGCGAAAACGACGGCAGATGCCAGGTCTGGAGCGTCTTCCCTCAGCGCCTCTTCGGGGAGGGGGGGGTCAATGCGACAGCAACACGGGGCCGCGACATGACTGGAACAGTAGTGTCGGGCAGGTGGATGGGGGAGCAACGCGGGAACATGGATGGGCGTGGGAGAAGAAGGCGATGAGGAAGAAATAGGATGGGGAAACGGAAATGGCGATAGGAAGAGGGTGAGGAGGTCGCGTTTCGTCGTCTGCTCTTTGCGCAACTTCGTATCAATTCCAGTCGATCCTTCTAGCCCTCCTCGTACACCTCGTGGCACTCACCCATCGTACCCCCTGATTCCAAACCCTCCTATCAGCACACGCTGCCTCCGCCATGATGCCTTCATTCTACTCTTCGCCGTGCTCTTCCACTGGCAACTGGCCTTCCACCTGCAACTAGCCGCGAACATCAACGTCAAGAACCCATCATCGTCCTCACCCCCTCTTCTTACGACACCCAATCCCTCATCGCCATCGTCATCTTCGAACTCGTCGTCGTCGTCCACCTGCTCCTCTTCACTCGTATCTGTCCATTCCTGTCTTGGTCACTGTATTGCATTATCATTATTATTTTATTATGTGTCACTCGTCCACCCATCAGTGTCTTCCTCCTCCTACTCGTCCTTCGATCTCTCCCTGCTTTCTGCCTTCCCCCCTCGTTTCCAATGCCCTATCCTCTCGAGAGAA